GATGTTCCGAAAACATTGTGGTCGTCCAGCTCGGAGGCGTGGACGTTGTCGACCACATGCCCACCCCTTGGAATGTTCCGAAAACAAGCAACCTTCGCCCACCCCTTGGTCGGGATGTTTCGAAAATGAAGGACTTTGGTATTGTCTCTTGCCCACCCCAAGGGATATTCCGAAAACATTGTGGTCGTCCAGCCCGGAGGCGTGGACGTTGTCGACCACATGCCCACCCCTTGGAATGTTCCGAAAACAAGCGACCTTCGCCAACCCCTTGGTCGGGATGTTCCGAAAACGAAGGACTTTGGTCTTGTCACTTGCCCACTCCAAGGGATGTTCTGAAAACATTGTGGTTGTCCAGCCCGAAGGCGTGGATGTTGTCGACCACATGCCCACCCCTTGGAATGTTCCGTAAACAAGCGACCTTCGCCCACCCCTTGGTCGGGGTATTCCGAAAACGAAGGACTTTGGTCTTGTCACTTGCCCACCCCAAGGGATGTTCCGAAAACATTGTGGTTGTCCAGCCCGGAGGCGTGGACGTTGTCGACCACATGCCCACCCATGGGAATGTTCCGAAAACAAGCGACCTTCGCCCACCCCTTGGTCGGGATATTCCGAAAAGGAAGGACTTTGGTCTTGTCACTTGCCCACCCCAAGGGATATTCCGAAAACATTCTGGTCGTCCAGCCCGGAGGCGTGGACGTTGTCGACCACATGCCCACCCCGTTGAATGTTCCGAAAACAAGCGACCTTCGCCCACCCCTTGGTCGGGATGTTCCAAAAACGAAGGACTTTTTTTCTTCTGGAGGATCGCGTGAGTGATCGGTGTCCATTGTGAGCATCAACTTGCGAATATGTAAAGTACGTAAAATGTCGTTAAATGAACCAAATGGAACTCGTACGTAATTATGATTGTAGCAAATTAATAACATTGTCAGGCAGAAACATTTCCACATAGAAATCGACCATTTTGATAACTTGTCAAACGAGGATTACACCAATTCAACTGCTCGAGTATAGAAGAAAATTTTACACATAATATTTTTTAAGATAGGGGCTACATTCCACGACCTAGCTAGTGATCTGCCTTCTGCATCCTTCAGAAAATATGCTCTTCCTGCATGAACTTTCTCGACCAAGTATGGTCCTTCCCAATTAGGCTCCAGTTTTTCTATATGCTTGAGCACGTCCACCCTTTTCCAGACTAGATCGCCCACCTGAAATCGACGGATTTTCATCTTTCTGTCATGGGCTGCTCTCATGCGTTTTTTATACACTTCTACTCTGTTCGAGGCCTGTTCCCTGAGTTCTTCAATCATGTCCAAGGCAGCCAGCATGAGTTCTTCATTCTGCCCCTGGTCATACGCGCTCATCCGTTGCGACTGCAACTCTAGCTCGATCGGCAGCAGCGCCATCCCATAGACCAGGCTGAAGGGTGTCTCTCTAGTGGTCGACCTCGGAGTAGTTCTGTAGGCCCAGAGTACGGATGTTAACTCGTCTACCCACGCCCCCGAGGCCTTTTCCAGTCTTGTCTTCAGCCCATTCAATATAATTTTGTTGGTCACTTCCACTTGCCCATTGGCTTGTGGGTGGGCGACGGAGGCAAAGTGTTGCTCGATTCCCATCTCCTCGCACCATGTCCTGATCCGCTTGCCATTGAATTGCGTCCCGTTATCAGATATCAAGACTTTGGGCACCCCAAATCGACAACATATGTTGTTGTACAGAAATTGGATTACTTTTTTCCTCAGTAATTTTGGCCAACGGCTCAGCTTCCAACCATTTCGTAAAGTAGTCAACTGCCACAATCAAAAATTTTCGTTGCCCCGTCGCCTGTGGCATTGGCCCTACAAGGTCGATTTTCCATTGCGCGAACGGAATTAGTGCACTCATCGTGGTCATCGTCTCTGCAGGTTGGTGTATGAGCGGGCCGTGCTTCTGGCATTGCATGCATCTCCTGGCCATTTCCTTAGCGTCCGCCTTCATTGTCGGCCAGAAGTAACCTACTTTTAAGATTTTTGCGACCATGGCTCCGGCTTTGCTATGATTGCCACAGCACCCCTCATGCACCTCTCGTAAAACATACCGACCTTCCTCTTTGGATACACACCTCAAATGTGGACCTGCATATGATCGCTTGTAGAGGACCCCGTCCTGCTCGAAAAATCTCCTCACTACCTTTATGGTTCCCTCTCGCAACTCTTTCTGGATTGAGGCCCTCCAATCTTCCACCTCCTCAATCTCTGCTACCTCGGCTTCAGCCGCACTCTTCTCCGTATGGAGCAGGGTCACACTCCTACTCTTACAATCTACCAAATTCTGAGCGATTTTAGACAGCAAGTCAGCTCGACCATTCTCCCCTCGAGGTATCTGTATTAATTCAAATGACCCAAATTCTTCCTTCAACTTCCTCATGTTGTCCACATGACGCTGCAGCCGATCCTCTTTGATCTCGAAACCTTCTTTGAATTGACCAACCACTAACTGGGAATCAGAATGGACCTGGATTTTCCGAGCGCCCCCAACCAGAGCCAATTGTAACCCCTTTATAACCGCTTCGTACTCTGCCTCGTTATTTGATACTCGGAATCCTACTTTGACGGCAAACTCTAAGTAATCCCCTTTGGGCGAGAACAAGACTATCCCCAAGCCGGCCCCGCTCCTCGACACTGAGCCGTCTGCGAACAACTGCCATACTCCTTCCGTGTCTTCTTCCTCCTTCGTACCTTCCCGTATGAAATCAGCCAAAACCTGTGCTTTGATCGCCCTCCTTGGCTCATATACTATAGAGTACTCGCTCAGCTCGACCGCCCACTTTACTAATCGCCCTGACACCGCTGGTCGACCCAATGTTTGCTCTAAGGGCATGTTTGTCTGCACTTTGACCCTGTGATTTAGAAAGTATGGTCTCAACTTTCGAGCCGTCATGATCACCGCCAATGCGCATTTTTTGATCTCCGAATATCTCAATTCCGCCCCTTGCATTACTCGGCTAACATAATATATTGGGAATTGAGCTACTCCCTCTTCGCGTAACAACACTGAACTTACCGCACACTCGCCCACAGATATGTAGAGTACGAGTTCCTCTCCTTGCACTGGTTTGGCTAGCAATGGTAAATTCGCTAGCACCTCACGCAACTCCTGGAAAGCCTTCTGCGCCCCTTCCGTCCACTGAAATTTCGAACTTTTCTTTAACGTTTTAAACAGAGGACCACTTTTCTCGGCCACTTTAGAGATGAATCTGCTCAGGCCCGCTATTCGACCAATTAGAATTTGGACTTCCTTCGCACTGGCAGGTGGTTTCATCTTGATGACTGCCCTTACTTTCTCCGTGTTGACCTCTATTCCCCGTTTAGTCACCATATAGCCTAGAAATTTTCCTGCTTTCACTCTGAACGAGCATTTGGTTGGGTTAAGCTTCATGCCGTATCTTCTCAGTGTTCGGAAAGTTTCTCTCAAGTCGCCTACATGGTCAGATTCCATTTTGCTCTTGACCAGCATGTCGTCTACATATACCTCCATATTTCTTCCCAGCTGGTCTTTGAAGATCTGGTCGAATAACCTCTGATAAGTTGCCCCAGCATTCTTCAGTCCGAACGGCATAACCACATAGCAATAGGTGCCCTTGCTCGTAACAAAACTTACTCTTTTCCAATCATCCTTCGCCAAGGGAATCTGGTGATAGCCTTGCGAGGAATCCATTAGGCTGAGAAGTTCACATCCCGCCGTGGAGTCCACTAGTTGATCGATCTGGGGCAGTGGGTATAAATCCTTCGGGCACGCTTTGTTCAGGTCGCGGAAGTTGATACACATCCTCCATTTCCCTCCTGATTTGGGTACCATCACTATGTTAGACAGCCATTCGGGGAACTGGATCTTCTTGATATACCCGGCGTTTAAGAGCTTCTCGACCTCTTGCTTTATTATCCTGTCCATCTCCGCTCCATGATGTCTCCTCTTCTGTTTTACCGGCTTCACACTAAGATCGATATTTAGCCGGTGCTCGATTATCTTAGCCACGATCCCTGTTAATTCCTCCGCAGTATATGCGAAAATATCCGCAAACTCTCTTATCAAGTCCACCAATCTCGACCTGATTAACTCTCCCAGCTCTTTTCCAATTCTAAATTTTCGATCATCCTTCCCTTCTACCATTTGGACCTCCTCAACCTCGCCCCCCGGTTGCATGTCCATTTTCTCCTTTCCCTTGTCTTGTCCTCCCTTTTCCTCCTTCGACCTCGATCCTCTTGGTCGATCGGGCCGCTCCTCTCCACCTTTCGCTTTGCTTTCTCGCCATTTGCTTGTTATTGCTCACAGTGGTTTGGTAACAACTCCTCGATGTGAGCTGGTCTCCAGCAATCTCGCCCACATTTTCACCCAATGGATATTTGATCGTCATGTGGTATGTAGACACAATTGCTTGGAATGCGCTTAACCCTGTCCGTCCCAATATGATATTGTAGGACGATTCTGCTCCTACCACCACGAACCGCACCATTCTTACCTTCCTAGTGTCACCCGATCCCAACGCCACAGTTAGACTTACTTCACCCATCGGCATCACCTCACCCCGTTAAAAACATACAAGGCCGTCACTACTGGTTTCAGTTCCAGATTCAGATGTTTGTTAATCTGCGTGAAACAGTCATAGAACATCACATCGACCGAGCTTCCTGTGTCGATGAACACCCTCTTCACATCAAAACCAGCCACTTTCGCCGTAATAACCAGCGCATCATTATGGGTCAATAAGATCCCTTCCGCATCCTCTGCTCGAAAGCTATAGGCATTCGACCAGTTATCCTGATTTCCTCTCTTGCATTTTACATCTCGCACATGCCCCTTTCGCGCATTATTTGAATCCCCATCTGTGGGTCCTCCGGAAATCATATAGATTGTGCCCCTCTTTGCTGGTATCTCCACCCTCGGCTCCTCTCGAGCACCACTTCCTCGGCTCCTCTTTTCCCCCCTTTCGTCATCCTCTCTATAATCGTCCCTATCACTCCTCACTACCGAATCCTCCCTGCACCTCCTTTTATCCTTTTCTCGTGGTCGATCCCGGATGACAAACTCCTTTAAATGTTCTGCCCTTATGAGGCGCTCAATCTCATCTTTCAAATGTATACAATCTTCTGTATTGTGTCCATAATCCCTATGGAATCTGCAGTATCTGCCTGACCTAGGCTTGGTCGGCCCCTCAAATCTCGTCGCTGGCCACGTGACCTCCTTACTCTCCAGCTTCTCCTTGATGGCCGCCAGGACTTCGCCCATTTGGGCGTTAATAGGAGTGAAATTGTTATATCGTTGACCATTGGGTAACCGAGGTCGCCCTTGCCAGCGGTCCTCTCGCCCTCCGTGAAATCGCCCCTCTCTTCTGGGCGACGCTCTCTTGGATGAGCCATTCTTTGGGGGATTTCTTCTAGGTGATCCTCTCCTGGGCGAATTCGGCTTTTTCTTCCTCTGGTCAAGCTTCGCCACCTCTTCGAGTTTAGCGAACTCTGCCTCTGTCTCTTCCAAATTGATGTACTTCTTACATCTCCTCAACACCTCATCATACGTTCGAGCAGGCGTCTTTGCCAACGACGTTCGGCACGGTCCTGGTCGTAGAATCCTGATTAATCCTCCCGCTTTCACCTCATCGACTGCCGTTGGGACCTCCAGGCACATCTGGTTGTATCGAGCAACATACTTACGTAAAGAATCTTTCTCGACCTTTTGCATCGCCATCAAAGTGAGGTATGTTTTCTCCTGCGCAACTACACTTAAATACTGGATGGTAAGTTGTCCTGCAAAATCCTCAAAGTCTTTGATCGACCTGGGAGCTAATTGATGAAACCAATCAAGGGCGTCTCCTCGTAAGGTTGAAAAAAAGGCTCTGCAACTGACCGGGTCCGAGTACCCGTGCAACACGGACATGTTCTCAAAACCCTTACGTGCCTCGACGGATCACTTGAACCATGGAAGATCAAGCTTATCTCCCTAAAACTCGTAGGCAATGGGGCAACCAGGATTTTCCTCGAGAACGGGTGTCCTCGAGCACGCCTGTCTGGCCATCCTTCCACCTTCTCCTGCAACTGCCGCAGCTGCTCGGCCATCCTCTCCATCGCCATATCTCTGTGCTCGCCTCCTCTGCCATAACTCGATACGTCCTCGTCTTGCGTCCCCAGTATCGTGGTCGGTGTGGTAGCAGCCTGGGACGTCTGGTGAGTGACCTGCTGTACAGCCTGTGCCGCCGCGTTTGCCATAATCCTCTGCATCTCTTCTCTCGTCATAGTCACCATTTGTTGGGCAGGGGGTTGCGGCGCTCCTCCTGTTGGTGGCACCATTGTCTGCATCGTCGGTTCAACTTGTTGCGTCACAACCGGGCCTGTTTGCAACGGCGTGAGGACTGCCTTCGGTGCTGCCTAACGAGCCTCGTGATCCCTGCTCGTGCCTTCTCCTCCACCCGGGATCGCTGTGCTCTGGGGCATCGGCGTTGGGGTCACCGGTGTTCGTGATGGTCCAGAGAATCCGGGTGGAGGTCCTACACCCATCGGTCTTGTCGTCATCCATGCTTCATCAAATGACGACTGCAAATTCACTCGAGGAACTCCGTCCGCCATAGCTGAGCTCATAACACAACTTTTTGAACGAGAGTCCCACAGACGGCGCCAATAATACAAGTCTAATGCTCGACCGACTTGGAACTGCTACAAGCTCGCCTTCCTCGCCGGTGGAACGCCGAACCTGCACAGAACTCTACACTGGAGTTGTTTTCCGGTGAAGAGCCTCCAACGCTCAAGTCAGATCTTGAGAAGAATCAATATGTATGTCTGAGTATAAGAATATATTTCAGAGTTATCTAAAGTGATAGTCCTCGTCCCTATTTATAGGGACGAGCTACATGTTGCCCACGCGCCCCTAAGCAAGCCTCATCGTTCGTACCCTTGCTCATCTGTACAGCCGCGCGCCTCCACTTTCTCTGGTGTCAAAAAATGCGTCAGCCATGTCAGGGAATGTCAAAGTTCGTTATTTCCCTGGTCCACTCACAGAGTGCCGCGTGTCCTCCTTTCACGTGCTGGGGGTTTCCTTGTTCGCTCCAATATTCGACCATTTCCATATGACCATGCACTATCCGACCACCCTCTTTCGACTAACTCCTCGAGTAACTTGCCCCTGTCGACCACTTATGTTCTCGTTAGTCTCTGCTATTTGCTCTCGGTCCTCCGTTGCAGGTGTCTGTTCCTACTCGACCACATCATCCGGTCCGTTCTTATTTGGCTAATCCAACGAACCGGCCTATTTTCTCCAGTTAGCCCCGCGAACCGGTCTAGTATATAATATCCCATATCACAGTTGAATTCCTTTCTTCAAGAGATTAGCCTTTACTAGAAGAGTGTTGGAGCAACACTTCCAAATAAAATGCTTCAACTTTTGGTGGACTTTCAATTTTCATGTTCTCTTTCTGGCATTAGAGATAGATCTACAATTACCACTTCTTTGTGGCAAATCCATCCCCAGAAGCTTAATATTAGAGAGGTAAGAATAAGATGAGGATACAGAGAAAAGACCCTTTCTGTCAAAATTCCAAAACATCTTGTCCTCTCTGTTAGGATTCAATGAGTTAATTTGAAGGATAGTCATACTTTCCTCAGCATTGAACACCTGGGAAACTAACCAATCATTCCAACTTCTGCCATTGCTATTCATAAGGTCTTTCACCCAAATCAGATGACACACAGCAAGATCCAACATATGATGTCTGAGAGTTTTTAGAGAAGGGATCCAGTTAACATCAGAAATTCTTGTAGAGTTCCCATTTCCAATATGAATTCTGAAACCCTTAGCAAAAGTGGGGAGCACCTGCAACCAGCAACTCCAAAGCCCAGAACAGTTTTGGGATTTAGTAGCTTCGAAGATAGATGATGAAGGAAAATATATGCTCTTTAGGACTTGGCTGACAAGCAAATTAGGTTGAGAGGTGATTCTCCAAAGCTTCGTACAAATGAGAGATTCATTAAATAGCCTAACATCAAGAAAACCCAGACCACCATCTTCCTTGGCTAAAGACAAATTATTCCAGGATTTCCAGTGTATTCCTCTGTCCTTTTTCACCCTTACTCCACCAGAAAAAAGCACAAAGTTTGGAGATTTCTTTGGCAATAGAGGCAGGAAGTTTGAAGCAAGCCATAGTGAATATAGGAATGGAGGACAAAACAAACTTTATGAGAACTTCTCTACCAGCAGGAGAGAGAAGTTTGGATTTCTAGCTATTTAATCTTGCTCTGACTGAGTTAAGGACATATTCAAAAGCTTCCTTTTTCGATTTCCCTATGCCAAGGGGTAAGCCGAGGTATCTTGTGGAATGATGAGTGGTAATCCCTGGAAGGTGAGTACAGATGCTCATTTGTAAGTCATTAGGAGAGTTTCTGCTGAAGAAGAGAGAAGACTTGCTAAAGTTCACCTTTTGACCAGTATAAAGTCTGAATAGTTCAAGGATTCTCAATAGGTGCTGAACTTGGTCCACTCCAGCTCTACAGAAAAGGAGGGCATCATCAGCAAAGAGCAGATATGAGAGTAGTGGTCCATCTTTGGAAATCCTCAAACAAGCTAAAGACCCTTCACTAATAGAATTGGTTATCATTGATGACAGGAGTTCAGCCACAATAAGAAAGACATATGGGGACAAGGGGTCACCTTGTCTGATGTCCGTTGTAGGAAGAATAGCCTTGCTGATTAAGACGTTGATGTTAAAAGCAAGAGAAGTGGTGGAGAGGCATTCCATGATCAACTTCACAAAAGGAGGGGCAAAACCCATCTTTAGCATTATCCCTTGAAGACTCCTCCACTCTATTCTGTCAAAAGCCTTCATAAGGTCAAGTTTCAGAGCCATAAAGAATTTGGACCCAGACCTGTGCCTATTGAGAAAGTGGAAGACTTCGTGAGCAATAACAACATTGTCGAGCAACTGTCTTCCTTTGATAAAATCAGATTGGCAAGAGTTAATGCAAGGGTCCAAGCATATCTGAAGTCTGGTAGCAAGAAGTTTGGATATAATCTTGTAAACAACACTGCAGAGGCTAATTGGTCTGTATTGACCAATAGTCTCAGGATTTCCGCACTTTGGAACTAGAGTGATTATAGTTTGGTTCCAATATTTGAGGAGCATGCCAGATGAGAAAAAACTTTTTATTGCAGAGATGACATCCTCTTTGATAATGTCACAGAAATGCTGGTAAAAAAGGGGGTTCATACCTTCCTCACCCGGGGCTTTTTCAGGAGCATGACTAGACAATGCAGTTTTTAATTTCTTCTTCCTCAACCGGTTTTAGAAGGTCCCTATTCATATCAGAGGTGATTGATGTGGGAATTAGATGAAGTAAGGTTTCTTCTCCCATTGAGCCCTCAGAAGTAAAGAGTCCCCGTAGAAATTAGTGATGTGATCTTTAATGGCAGATTGAGTAAGAATTGATAAGTTACTATTGTCCACCAATCTGGTGATAGAATTTTTCTTTCTTCTGTGTCTGACAAAAGCGTGAAAAACATAGAGTTCTTATCACTATGTTTAAGCCAAAGAGTCCTGGCTTTTTGCTGCCAATATTGTTCTTCATGACAGTGGGCTTCATTAAGATCTCTTCTAGCCTTGTCCCAAGCATCCCAGTCTCTTTCTTTTCCATCAATATTCAGCTTCTCAAAAGTATTAGTCAGCTTTTTTATCTTTCCTATACTCTGAGCTCTGAATTTTGACCTCCATTGAAGCAGGGCAACTCATGTTTCTTGGATTTTTTTCTTTGAGGATGAAGAAAGGGGTACCTGTATGCACAGTTGACCAAGCCTGTTGGATTACTTCTCTGCAGCCTCCGATACTCAGCCAGCGTTTATCAAAATAAAATCTCTTCGTGAGCCTAGGATAGTGTTGCCCTGATTGCAAAAGGAGCATAGTGTGGTCAGAAGCACCTTTCAATACATTGAACACCGAGGCATTTTGATATTGTTCTATCCAATCCAGGGAAACAAAAGCACGGTCAAGTTTTTTCTCCATGAAGCCTTCAGTGTCCCTGTTATTTGCCCAGGTGAAAGGGTGACCCACCATGTTAACCTCTTCCATTTCCATTTTGCAGATGAATTCATTAAAATCCAAAAAGCTGCTATCTCTTCTTTCTCTACCCCCTCTTTTGTCCTCTGGAAATCTAATGTCATTCCAATCGCCTATGATGAACCATCTGTCTCCCCAATGAAGTTTCTCCTGAAGTAATTCCTCCCATTGGTTCTCTCTGATGGATTTGTCAATGTTGCGATAAACAAAAATGCCCCATGAGGTGAGATCTTCTTTTCATTTGAACTCCACAGCAATGTAGAAGTCTTTCTATGGAATGAATAATTTGGACTTCACCATTCCAGAGAAGGAGCATGCCACCACTTCTGCCTCTAGGATCAACAATTGCAAACTTGTCCTCAAAACCCAATTTCTTGCTAACTGATTTCACAAAAGCTTGTTTATTCTTGGTTTCATATAAAAAAACAAAAGTCGGGTGGTGAGTCCTGCAAGGCTCTCTGATTTAGAAAACCATGGAGGGCCCACCCAGCCCTCTACGGTTCCACACCGCAGCTAGCATTTATCAGTCGGGTGCCATTCAAGGCTGGCAGCCCCCACCTTTGCTGTAGATGATTTGCTCTTCTTGTTGGTTAATAAAACAATAGCCTGCTCAAAGTTATTAGGTTGAGCATTCTCCATAGTATCCCTCTGCCTTTTGCCACTAGTGGATGTGATCTCTTGAGGAGGTGAAGAGTCTTGCCTTTGAAGACGGACTTCCTTTGTGGTAGCCCTCTTCCAAGTTTTTAATAAAAGTTTGTGAACTCCTGAAGGGTTCTGAGTGGTTTTAAGAGTTTAGAGTT